AGCTTTATAACCGGGAAAGGAAACTAAGCAGCAATTAGACAAAGAAAACAATGCTCGTGATTTATATTGGGGAATTTGTTAGGCTCAAAAATAACTATCAGTAGGGGTGATTCCACCATAAATATAGCAGAGCACCAGAAGTAAACTTCATAACCTGCCTAAATTATGTTTTTTGCACAGCAATTTGCTACAGACTTTAAGTTCTTGATAGATACACTGAATTAAGTACTTCTAGCTATTTTTGTTGTTATAATAATAATATAATAATATAATATATAATATAATAATATACAATTATAATAATATAATAATATTATATTATTAAATATAATATTATTATATTATTATATATTATTATATTATTATTAATAATATTATATTATTAAATATAATATAATATTATAATAATATTATAATAATATAATATAATATAATAGAGTTGTTGTTTGTTTTATCACACCAACAGTCGACCACAGAGGGAGAGGGAAGCTTCAGAAGTTCCCCCTGTCCCGTTTGGAGGTTTTTTTTTTCGCATATTGCGTCCGCCATTAACGAATCGATTCGTATATTTACGAAATTTCGTAAATATCAAATTTTTGAAATTTGAAATTTCGGAAATCCTCTCAAATTAGAAACACCAAAATTAGCTTTATTACTTATACATGACAATACAATTCCATCACAAGAGGAGAAAGAATTGGTTTCTAATTTGATAATAGCAGCTAAATTGCTAATAGCAAAATACTGGAAAGAAAAAAAAGAAATTCAATTAGAAGAATGGTATAGGGAAATTTGGAATATAGCTATTAATGATAAGCTAACCTGCAATATTAAAATTAAAAGGGGAATATGGAAACAAACAGATTTCTGGAAAATATGGGGAAAATTTATTGAGTATATTTTTAATGAGGGAAAGGGGTACAAGCCAGCAACAGAAACAATGACATTTTGGAATTGTGAAATAACATGAGTAGGTTGGTCCTGGTGAAGGGGGCACAAACTAAGGGTAAAGGGAAGAGGGGGGAAATGGTATAATACTAATTATAAAGAAATAAAACATGTATAAGTAGATAAAAGGTGTGTGGTAGAGATATACATAGTATAAGTTGTAACGGAATGATAAGAAATATGCTTAAAGATGTATTTGATTATTTTTACTGTTAGATTGTATATAATATGACAAATTCTTCTATCTAAGATGTTGTAAAAAGAGGGAAGAATGTATGCTTATACATGTTGTTTGATAAATGTATAATAAAAAATTTTAAAAAAAAGATTAGAAACGCGGGCGCCCCCTAGATACGAAACGAGTTTAGAACCAATTTTTTTCTTGATCAACCAAGCCTAATATATACATATAAGGAGCCCCCAGTGGCACAGTGGGTTAAAGCGCTGAGCTGCTGAGCTTGTTGACCGAAAAGTCACAGGTTCAATTCCGGGAAGCGGCGTGAGCTCCACTGTTAGCTCCAGCTTCTGCCAACCTAGCAGTCGAAAACATGCAAATGTGAGTAGATCAATAGGTACCGCTCCAGTGGGAAGGTAACTGCGCTCCATGCAGTCATGCCAGCCACATGACCTTGGAGGTGTCTATGGACAACGCCGGCTCTTCAACTTAGAAATGGAGATGAGTACCACACCCCAGATATGACTGAACTTAATGTCAGGGGACAACCTTTACCTTTTTTATATATACATATAATATTTATAATATTATAATGTAATACAATATATACAATATAATACTAATAATAATATATTATAATTATATATTTTATATTACATGTAATATTGCTAATAATATTACAATATAATGGTGTAGTACAATATAGTAATATGTAATACTGATATTGTACTATGCTAATGATTTAATATATTGTATGTATATATATCTTGTAAGCCGCTCTGAGTCCCCTTCGGGGTGAGAAGGGCAGCATAGAAATGCCGTAAATAAATAAATAAATATTAGATGAAGGGCTACAAGGCAGGATCATCAAGTTTGCAGACGACACCAAATTGGGAGGGAGAGCCAATACTCCAGAGGACAGGAGCAGGATTCAAAACGATCTTGACAGATTAGAGAGAGTGGGCCAAAACTAACAAAATGAAGTTCAACAGTGACAAATGCAAGAGACTCCACTTTGGCAGGAAAAACGAAATGCAAAGATACAGAATGGGGGAGGCCTGGCTCGAGAGCAGTACGTGTGAAAAAGATCTTGGAGTCCTCGTGGACAACAAGTTAAACATAAGCCAACAATGTGATGTGCCGGCAAAAAAAGCCAATGGGATTTTGGCCTGCATCAATAGGAGCATAGTGTCTAGGTCCAGGGAAGTCATGCTTCCCATGCTCTATTCCGCTTTGGTTAGACCACACCTGGAATATTGTGTCCAATTCTGGGCACCACAATTCAAGAGAGATGTTGACAAGCTGGAATGTGTCCAGAGGAGGGCGACTAAAATGGTCTGGAGAACAAGCCCTATGAGGAGCGGCTTAAGGAGCTGGGCATGTTTAGCCTGAAGAAGAGAAGGCTGAGAGGAGATATGATAGCCATGTATAAATATGTGAGAGGAAGCCACAGGGAGGAGGGAGCAAGCTTGTTTTCTGCTTGCCTGGAGACTAGGATGCGGAACAATGGCTTCAAACTACAAGAAAGGAGATTCCATCTGAACACGAGGAAGAACTTCCTGACTGTGAGAGCTGTTCAGCAGTGGAACTCTCTGCTCAGGAGTGTGGTGGAGGCTCCTTCTTTGGAAGCTTTTAAACAGAGGCTGGATGGCCATCTGTCAGGGGTGATTTGAATGCAATATTCCTGCTTCTTGGCAGAATGGGGTTGGACTGGATGGCCCATGAGGTCTCTTCCAACTCTTTGATTCTATGATTCTATGATTCTGTGAAATAGATATTCAGCAGGAATTTATGTGTGGTGAAAATGGGATAAGCCTCTCTTCTTAGGATGGCAGTCTGTCCAACGCCTTCCAAGTAGCCCAGTCTTCTGTGTGCCCGGGGTAGTCTCTGATTCAGTATCAGCTATGGGTTGAAGATCCAGGTTTTCGCCTGCCACTTTTGGACTCTTGCTTGTTGAGGTGTTCCTGCGAGTGTCTCTGTAGATCTTGATTTAAGTTGTTGGCATGCTGGCTGATACCCAAACGGGGTGGGCAGGAGATGTCACTGCCTTGGTCCTTTCACTATTGGTTGCTACTTCCTGGCGGATGTCAGGTGGTGCAATACAATACCGGTGAAACAGTGTAATTTCTCCAGTAGTGTAGAGCGCAGACACCCTGTAGGTTGCTATAGTATTTTTTGGGCTATATGACCATGTTCTAGAGGCATTCTCTCCTGACGTATTGCCTGCATCTTTGGCAAGCATCTTCAGAGGTTGTGAGGATGCTTGCTATAGATGCAGGTGAAATGTCAGGAGAGAATGTCCTCTAGAACGTCGCCATATAGCCCAAAAAATCCTATAGCAACCTACATGCTGCATTGTCTACAAGAGTCCAAAAATCTGACAACAACCCAGTGATTCCAGCCATGAAAACCTTCGACAATACAATGCAGAATGTCTCATTCAGAGCCACATAGAATC